AGTTGATGCTGCGGGGCGTGGGCAGAGGGTGTGGCCACCATGGCTCTGCTGGGCTGCCTGGGTGATCTGTGGCGGGTGCTGGAGGCAGTGAGTGGCTCTTCGGGCAGGCAGGGTGAGGCGGAGCAGGGGCAGGGCAGAGGGTGGAGCAGGGGTGGGGCAGGGGGTGGACCAGGGACAGAGCCAATTTTGGGGCACTCGGTCTCTAAAAGGTTTGCCATCACTGGTTTAGATCATTTGCTACCCAGGAGTTTGTTTGTTTTGACATAGTAACAAAATTTGTACGCAATGTTAAATCTGTATGGTAGTAAATCTTGGCTTACTGTAAATGAACTGCATATAATCTGCCAATTCTTCCAATGAGTACAAGAGATTAAGTTGGTAATAATGTAAAAGTAAACCTTTGATCATAATTTAAAACAAGCAAACAATCCAAGAGTAAACTTATTTAACAGCTTAATTTTCCTGGGGGCATCAAAATGAAAGTCTTGGTTTGGACATTATATTAAGCAGCTGTATACAGGCGGTCTTCGACTTACGACCACAATTGAGCCCAACATTTCTGTTGCCAAGCAAGACAATTGTTAAGTGAGTTTTGACCCCTTTTATGACCTTCCTTACCACCATTGTTAAATGAATCATTGAAGTTGTTAAGTTAGTAACACGGTTGTTAAGTGAGTCTGGCTTCTCACTTACTTTGCTTGTCAGAAGGTTGCTAAGGAAGATCACACAACTCCAGGATACCACAATCATCGTAAATATGAGTCAGTTACTAAGCGTCCAAATTTTGATCACGTGACCACGGGCCTGCTGCTATGGTCGTACGTGTGAAAATAGGTCAGAAGTCACTTTTTTCATTGCTGTTGTAACTTTTGTTGAAGGAAAAGTCTTCTCATGGTTCAGTCCAAGCCGGGAATAAACAACATGGCAACTGCTTTAGGAAGAAAGTTGTAGTTTATTGAAGATGAGAGCCAAACAGAAAGATGGCTCTGGAAGAAAAGAGAGCGAGCACATGTAGGGAGTGGGTTTTTATACCCTCTGGAGCCTTTTGTTTGGAGTTGTTCCCCTAGCATGAACTTTGACCTGAGTCTGAGTGTGCCTTTCTGGTATTCTGATGGTGGTGGGTTAATCTTATTATGTCGCAAGGTCATATCCTGCTTCCCTGGGGCTGTGGCTGATGACTCTTAGATTTTTGGTGTGAGGAGTTGTTGATTCTAGGGATCTTTCTTCCTAATCTCGGTTTTCTGACTCCAGTCTGACAAGATTATCACATCTGCAATTCTGCAGAATTGGTTTCTTTTAGGGACAAAGAGACCTGTGTGTGTGTTTTGGTTTCTGCCTTTAAATCCTTTAGGGAAATATATTCTGTCTTAAATATTTCCAAAAATATTTCTTTCTCTGGGAGGGACTGACTTCCCACACTTTGTAAGGTCATTAAATGAAAGATCGTAAGTGGAGGACTGCCTGACCTGGTAATGCTGGTAAAAGAAGCAGAGGTGAATGAAACAAAAGAACAAGGAGAGTAAATCTAGCCCTCTCACATCACATCTGGATGTATCCATCATTATTTAGTATTCTGTGTGAATGTCTTTAAATTCAATCCTTTTATCTGGAATGCTATAGGGCAGGGGTCCCCAACCCCCAGTCCGTGGACCAGTACCGGGCCACGGCATGCCAGCAACTGGTCCGTACAAACAAGCAAAGCCCCATCCATGAAATGCAGGCAGCGCACAAAACCACACACCCTCCGATCCGCGGAAAAATTTCCACAGAACTGGTCCCTGGTTCCCAATAGGTTGGGGACCTCTGCTAAAGGGGTCAGACTAGAAGACCTCCAAGGTCCCTTTTATTCTGTATCTGTTGAAAGGTCAGTAGTAAGGTCCTCAGAGATCTAAACTGAAGAAAATTTTTGAGAGTAGATGCCATTTGATGAAAAATCATAAAGAAAATTGGCTTAAAATTCGTACTCATCGGATGAGTATAATCAATCTACTAGAATCTTCTCTAGGATCTTTATCCTCCCGCCCCTTCACTCTGAGTAAAAGATAATATATTTAAGCTACAAGACAGCAGAGTTCTCCAAAAGGCAAGTGTAACTGACATTTTTAAAAATACCAAGTTTCTCATTATTCCAGATACTATCATAGTGTTGACTGCATTAGCATCGTTCTCTCTGTGTAATTTCATGAACACACACATGTGTGAGTGATGAAGGAGGATTCAAATATACAGATATTTTCTGTATATTTTGAAATTCTATTTTGCCTACTTTGTGTTGTGCCTTAATGTCCTGATTGTATCTTGGGGCTCTATACTACGAAATTTAAACAAAAAACAAACAAAATAAAACCTTCCTTGGTAACTTATATCGTTGCCTGTTGTTGGTTAACTATAATAGTTAGGGCATAGGTGCGATGTTAGGGTATAGATCACAGGTCGGCAACCTGCGGCTCTGGAGCCGCATGTGGCTCTTTGAGCCTTCCCCTGTGGCTCCCAGCCTCCT